GGATATTGCTTTATTGAGTTGTACTGATGAGAATTATTTATGTAGAGGTAGTGGTTGCAGTAGACTTGATAATAACCATGGACTTGTTGAAGCATGGAGTGTTTAGGAGCTATTTGTCATCTGTTAACCTGACCCTTAGAACTCTGACCCCTTCCCTTTCCCAGCAGACGGATTGGGAAATGTTTGCTGTAGTTTTAATATTCTGCTAAATCATTGGCTTTAACATGCAGGCTGAGACTTCTATACCAAGATATTCACTCAAGTACATGTTTTATGAATGCAATGTAGTCTGTTCTAACACCCATGTGCTCTTTATAACAAACCAAGAAGAGTAAATTAGTTCTAACTTCTATCTTATTTATAATCTGTAAACCTGACCACAGTAGCAAAACGGACAAAGACTTTGAAGAGTGTGACCTTTTATTATCTCTAACTGTATAGTCCTGCTTTTAATCATAAATATTACATCCAAAGTTATATGATTGGAAAAGAAACAAACTAATCTACAAACAATATCACTGCCATTCAAAAAATGAATAATTAATGCTGATTGAAATTTAAACTGTAATTATTGTTCTACACAAAATTTCAGATTTCATTAATATGAGTGTATTAGCAGTGTTCTCTCATTGGTAATTGAGTTTGGTCTATTAAGTTTAAAAATACCCCTTTGCTCTGATGTCATAATCGTGTCACTGTGTAAAATCATCACATACAATTTTTGTAGACACACATGGTCAAATTGGACTGTTGTAGAATTAGACTGTAATTGGACCCAAACAGCATCTGAATTTGTGCTGTGAGTTTGTTCTCCCACCTTGATGTTGGCTAACGGCTGGTGTGAATCTCTCCTGCCAGGTGCGTGTGGTCTATTGGGACATTGTAGATCAACAGAGTGCAGCCAACAGCTGGGCACACGAATATGCATAAGCTCTCCCATTCAGGCACCTGAACCAAAGCCTCAACAAAAGTGTGACTGCCTCCTATGATCAAGTACAACTTTGATCAAAGTTTATTGTATCATTATTTAAACGTACCAGTCTTTTCCCCTGCGCCACTATTGTGAAGTGTTAGTCAACTGAGGACAGCACAGGTCGACCAGCGAGCTGCCTGCCTGCAGTGGGCCATGGCACTGTAAATTCTTTACACACTTATCCACTCCATAAAGCAAAGACACATTCAAATCAATGGAGAAGATGTGGTCCCTCATTTCACTGATGCAAATGACACAGGTGGTGGCAGCTAATCAGTTTGTAACGAGAAGTATTTTATTTTAGATTTTTATTGGACAAGTAAAAATAAAAATAATTAGTGTTGTTATACAAGATTAAAGTTGGACATGGTGGGACATTGATTTACAATGTTGCTGCAAGTTAAGCTACTCAATAACTTGTCGATTATCTGTACAGGATTGCTTCATTTCAGAGTTTTGATTGACAAGACTTTAATAAATTCCATCCAGCCATTTCCCGCTTATTCGTGGCCAGGTCGCAGGTGCAGCATAGTTTCAACAGGGACTCCCAGATTTTCCTCACATTAGCACACCTCCCTGAATCAATTACGCAAAAAATGTTATTGCATGGCTGATCTATAGTGCCTTTTGTTGTATTTATTGGAGCAGAAAAGGGTTTAAAACTAACTGGTATTTAATATTAAGATAACTTTTTCACATGAATGCTGACTTGCCAGTGAAAAGTATCTCCAGCTGTTTGTAGCAGCACTGAAATCTGTAAACTGAAATGAGACTAAACTGGAAAAAATTGAAGATAATTGTGGGAATCATGTTGGGCAAGACCAAAACAAACATCGTGTCTCAGTAGCTAAACATTTGTGTTGGCATGAGATGTATTTAATCACAAACTGCATGTTTCAAAAGCTGCTTTCCCAGTAATGAATGGTTGTTCAAATACTGCGATCAGCCTTTGCCCCAGAGATATTTTAGCTGTGATCGACCTGTCCTCGTTCCTCAAACTTTTAATCTTTCATCAGACCATGAAAGCCATTTGTTTTAATCAGCACTGTTTAATAATCGAAGGGCTCTTTGTTGAAACTGTTTAAAAGAAACTGACACACAATTATATTGAAGTGGCTTTGGAAATTGTCTGGTGTTGATGCATGTGGAAATTTATTCTTTAGGTGGTGTATATATATATATATATATATATATATATCCGTGTGTGCGTGTGTGCGTGCGTGCGTGCACACACACACATATTATAAAGGGTTAGTGATAAGATGAAGCACATGTGTTTTTTTTTGTGTTTTTTTCAGCAAAACATAAAGCTTAAAATAGTAGTATCATTTTACATGTTAATGGCTTGAAGGGCCTCCTGGGTGATTGCAGTTCAATGCACCATACATGAATGCCTAATAATGCTCAGTATAAGTAGATACAAAGGAGAGCCCTGGGACAAATTGTACAAAGGGAAACAATGAGCCAATGACCACATAATGTAGTGTGGCATTAGGGCAGACCAGCTGTGCAAACCCATTTCAGAGGAGTGTGTGTAGGGCTGTCTTAACCTGTTTTCTAGAAAGAAAGTAGACTGTCCAGCTGCCACTGTGTAAGCTTGTGCCCTGCTCCCTCCTGTGGGCAATTAGGCTCCATCTCATTATATAAGTGCAAAGGAGAACTGTTTCAGGGCTTTTTATCGCCTCTGCCATCGTAACTTTCATTTTGTAAATTTATCACCAACTGCCATTGCATAAACAAAACGTGCCCTTTACCTCAAACCACTTAATCAAAGAGTGCCACAGTTAAAACTAAAACAGAATTTGCTGTGATTGATGAAGGCAACAGGTTAATGTTGTTGATAAAAGCTTTGTTTTTGACATTTTCGCCATTTCACAATTTTATATCATTTTGCTGAAAACACCAACACAGATGACATTGTTTGGCTCTTTGTAAAACATAATTGTGTCAACAGCCCCTGAAGATCAGCCAGCCGACATTTTGATAAGTGCTTTCCCCACAAGGTAAACGTGATGGGCAGACAGGAGGCAAGTGTGTGTCTTTTTACACTGCGGGCCACCATGCATTCTAATGAAGTGATGGATTAATGTGTGCCCATTCACCAAGCTGCATTTGATTCTGTTATCAGGTGCAACTTATTACACCAGTAACACTTAGCCTGTATTTCCGCATTTCCCATTCACATTCTAGTTTTGCTTGCCCTTTTTCCAGTGGAGAATGGTCAAATCTCACACAAACTTCACTGTAGCTGGAAGGAAAGATCTATTTCTTGGTCCTGATTGGTTGATGGAAGATAAGGGTGTTCACTGTTTAAGGCAGTTGGTTAATGTGGGTGCATAGGTTTGTGCCATCCGAGTGGTTTAAATGTTTTTGTGTGTGTGTTGAGTTCATGGGAACATGATGGTGGTGGCCTATGCACTGTGGAAATAACTGTTGTGAATAATTGTGCATTACATGTTAAGCACAGGTATGAGTTTTATACATGGATACACTCTTTAACACTAGCTAAACTCTCCTTTAGCGCTTTGTTCACCATTAGAAAACCTTAAAGATGCACCTCTCAGGTCTTTGATCACTGGGTCTTCCTGAGCTCTTTTTGCTCTCACAATCAACCCATAACCTGTTCCCAACTTCCCATTCTTCTATTCTTTACAAAGGCTTCATCAGGTTAGCTAATGGCTTTTGGTTGTTTTTATCCTCTCACACATACAGCAGCTACATCATCGTAACGCATGTTTTCTCTCTCCGTTATTGCCTTTCTATTGTCCGCTGTCTTTGTTGGTGACAAACTTTTGTGTCAGCTGGGCGGGAATCTGCCTGTTTACTCTGATTAAATAGGAGCAGCTGAAGGGACCAGTCGTGCCTCCATTAGTGGAAGAATGCTACTGTGCACGTAGCAGTGCAGACTCTGTCTGTGGTTTCAGATATGTGGACCCTTTCTATAGCATTTATTTTGTTGTTAATCATTATCTGGATATTCAATTATTCTGTATTTTCTATTGTCCAGCTGTTTATTTTGGAGTGCAGGCTCAGAAAGATATATTTATAGAAACAATTTTTACAGAAAAATAATTGGACTGAAGATGTAAAACACTTTTGGATCACACTGGATCAAATTGTTTTGATCCAGTGTCAGCCTGAAGTCTGAAACAGGGTTTCCACCTGTGTGTTTGTGTGTGCGCTTCTCTACATTTCCAGCTACTTTTTGACCCCTTGGGGTCAAAAAGGTGCCTTCATTTTAAAAGATCTATCTTTTTTCTATCTAATGATACTCCTGTATCATTAATCTAATTAGCATTTATTAAAGTCCCCCTTATGACTTATCAAGTTGCAGATGTTTGGTTTGTGACTCTAATAGACACTTACTCACCTGTAAGTTAAGACTAACTAACAGAGATAATGGTATCAATGAAAGTCATGCACTCGGCGTCTACTGAACTGCAGGTTCAGATGTCATTCATACATCCAGTACTGTCTCTGAATCTGTAATGTAACCTCTGCTTGAGACTCACAAGCCTGAATAATACAGTATATTTACTATAGACCCAAATCAATTATTTATAAGACTGTTTCCTATGAGCAGTGGATGCATGACTACATGAGGGCAGCTGTAATATAGCTAACTCGTGTGTCACTCAAGAGGTGAGACATGTGCTGAATAATGGAAAGTAATGCGCAGAATATCCAGTACATTGTTTCATGTTAAAATAAAATATATAAAAAGCAAACTTGTAGTGATAGAATATAGTGGATAGAAATTGATTTTTTTTATGGACCATTTACAGTTTGGGCAATACTTGAACCTCAGTCACAACATTTACAGGCATGTTTTAGCACCTTTCTGATTATATAGAATATCATGTCAATATTGTTAACAGGATAATTTAAAAGATTTAATTTTTTTTGCTATTGCTCTCCCCAGTATTGGTCTATGCTATGTTCCTGGGGCAGGACAGATTTCCTGTTTATCTTCAAGCATCTAAACAAACACCAGTTGATTAATACAACTTCTTATTTTTTCTTTCAG